GATTCACAGTCCCCTGTCTCACAACATACTACATGTAGAGCCATTATGTTAAGCAAAATAAGCCTGACATAGAAGGTCAAGGGTTGTATATATTCTCCCATATGTGGAAATTAGAGGGGAAAAGGGAAAGAAAGGTGGTAGGGATGTTTCTCAAAACACATAGAATGTTTGACACCTGTTGAGAGCCACAGCCGAAGGGGCCCCAGCAAACTTCCAGCTGCCAGCAAACTTACAGCTGCCAGCTGATGATTGGCTCACAGCGGCCCCAGCAACATCTAGCTGATTGGCTCCTCTGCGGTGATGCTCATTGGGCTGTTTCCCTGCCCTTTCAGACCACGGAGCTGCTCATTGGGGGACTTTTTTGGCTCCGCCCACGTGACCCAGCCAATCGGCCTCAGCAGGAGGATTGTGGGAGGTGGAGATAGAGGCTTGTGTTGGAGAGAGAGGCTTGTGGAAAGCAGGTGGTGGCAGTTGGGGCTCTGAGGGTTTTTCCTGAGAGGCTGTTTTGTTTAGCGTGTGTGGTTCTAAAAATAAAGTTAGTTTCTTTTGACAAGTGGCTCCTGATTGTGCCCAGCCAGACTGCGGCAGACACCCAGAGTAAATTTTGAGGGGTAATGATGCACCTATGTAGCTTCATCTCGAGCCAAGTATTGACAGTGAGGGAAGTCATGCGTGTGTAGGGACAGGTACAATGGGAATATATTTTCTACTCAGTTTTGTTATGAACCTAAAAAGTCTCCAAAAAATAAATTCTACTAAAAAAGAAAAAAAAATAGCCCACAAAATTGGAGAAATTTGTAAACCATATGTAAGAAGGGTCTAGTACCCTTAATATATAAAGAATTCTTACAACAAAAGACAATTTTTTTTTAAATGGGCCCTGAAGACTGGGGGTATAGCTCACTGGTAGAGGACTTGTCTAGCAGGCTTAAAGGCCCTGGACTTGATCCTCAGCACCACAAAAAATGTGTGGGGGCAATGAATTTTGAAAGCTATTTCTCCAACAAATAGTCAACAAGCATTTGGAAAGATGCTCAACATCAGTAGCCATTAGAGAACAAGTAAAAAACCACAGTGAGTTTGTGGTGGTGCATGCCTATAGTCTCAGAAATTTGGGAGGCTGAGGCAGGAGGACCCCAGGTTCAAGGCTAGCACCAGCAACTTAACAAGACCCTATTTCAGAATATAAAAATCAAAGGACTGGAGTTGTAGCTTAGTGCTAAAACATCATTGTGTTCCATCCACAGTACTAGAAAAGAAAACAACAACCCAGTTAGGTGCTCATCCACTAGGCTACCTATAAATTAATCAATTGTTATTTTTAAGCCAGAAAATAACTAATAAGGGGTATACAGAAGTTGGAACCCTTATACATTGCTCATGAGGATATAAAATGGTTTAGCTAATATAGAAAACTGTTTTGGCATTTTATCAAAAAATTAGAGTTACCATTTGAACCAGCAGTTCTCCTAGGAATATTCCCAAGAGAATAAAAAAACATTGATGTAGAAACTTTTTTACACACTCTTAACAATGATATTTATGATAGTTAAGAAATGGAAACAACTGAAATGTTCATCAGCTGACAAAGGATAAAGAAAAGGTGGCATATCCATAGAATGATAAAATAGAATGGAAAAGAATGAATTACTGATAATATAGATTAACCATGGAAACAATATGCTAAATGAAAAGAAGCCAAATACAGAAGGGCACATAATGTTTGATTCCATTTATGTGAAATGTCTAGAATATGTAAGACCTTAGAAGCAGAAAATAGATTAGTGGTTACCAGGTGCTGGGTGTAGAGTGAGTCAGAGTGACTACTAACAGGTGTAGGGTTTCTTTTTAACTTTATTAACTTATTGTAGGTTAGAGATGATTTATGAATAGGCTTGCAAGGACCCTAAGAAACCACTGAGTTAAAATTGTTAAGTGGTGAATTTTATGATATGTGACACATAGCATCTTGTAGAGTGATGCAGGTCTACTACAGGATGAGAACAGAATATCATAAAGTAACAAAGACTACTAGGGATGAGACTGGGGTTGTAACTCAGTGGTAGAGCGCTTGTATAGCATTCTCAGCTGGATAGATAGATTGGTAGAGAGAGAGAGATTGATAGATAGAGAGATAGATAGATAATCATCAACAACTAAAAACTATATTTAAAAAAAAGATTTGTGTGTGTACCAGGGATTGAACCCAGAGGTACTAAATCACTGAGCCACATACCCAACCTTTTTATATGTTTTATTTGGAGACAGGGTTTTGCTGAGTTGCTTAGCTCCTCACTGTGTTGTTGATTCTGGCTTTGAACTTGCAATCTTTCTGCATCAGCCTCCCAAGCCACTAAGCCTGGCACTGAGCCTGGCTAGAATTTCTTAAAAAAAAATGACTACTAGGAACATGTTGCAGGGATTCAGGAACCAAATTCAAGAGTCTCCTACAGATAAGACAGGCTGCACATCCAAAGGAGCAAGTAGGAGATTGAAGCATATCATTTCATAATAGAACTTTTTAAAAAAAATTTATTTATATAGGTATCTTTGGTTTTAGGTGGATACATTAGTTTGTTTTTATGAGGTGCTGAGGATCGAACCCAGTGCCTCTTACATGCTAGGCGAGCACTCTACCACTGAGCCACCACCCCACCCCAGTACTTTTTTATATATATATATATTTTTTTTGGTTGTCAGTGGACCTTTATTTATTTATATGTGGTGCTGAGGATAGAACCCAGTGCCTCACACACACTAAGCAAGTGCTGTACCACTGAGCCACAACCCCAGCCTTCATAAAGGTACTTTAAAAAAAAATTAATGTTGCTAAGAGTATAAGAGCACTTGGCTCACATGCTCAAGGCCCTACACTGCAAATAATAATAATAACTTAAAAGTTTAAAAAAAAAAAAAAGGCCAAAGGGCTGGGGCTGTAGCTCAGTGGAAGAGCACTTGCCTTGCATGTGTGAGGTACTGGATTTGATTCTCAGCACCACATAATAATAAATAGATAAAGATATTGTACCAACTACAACTTAAAAAATTAAACAAAAATAGCCAAGTGCAGTAGTGCATACCTATACCTCCAGCTACTCAGGAAACTGAGGCAGAAGGTTTGCTTAAGTCCAGGAATTGAAGCCAGCCCAGACAACGTAGCAAGACACCTGTCTTAAAAAGAGAAGAGAAAAGAAAGCCTGTGCCCAGCAGAACAACGTGGTACACACCTGTAATCCCAGTGGCCTGGGAGGCTGAGGCAGGAGGATTGTGAGTTCAAAGCCAGCCCCAGCAACTTCACAAGGCCTTAAGCAACTCAAGAGCTGTGGGGAAGTGGCTCACTGGTTGTGTGTCCCTGAGTTCAATTCCTGGTACCAAAAATAAAATAAAATGTTCCAGGGACCTTTTATTGTTTGAAAGAAGGGTGAAAGTATTGATTCACTTCAGTTTATAAGTTTAATATGCTGGTTAAAATTATTGCCAATCATTACAGGAAAGAGTTTATAATTTCCAAGGAGAAGGTAATAAAGAAAGACATGCTGGGGATATACCTCAGTTGGTAGAGTGCTTGTCTGATAGGCATGAATCCTTGGGTTCCGTCCCCAGAACCATGAGAGGAGAGAAACTGTAAAATGAAATAATAGAATAAATCCAAATATACCATTCCTAATTCCATAAATGGACTAAATTCCATAAACTTGAAAGATTGGCACTCAGAAAGAGAAAACCTGGTACAAATCGTTCATGTAAGACATCTCTCTAACTTAATACAAGATTGAAATAAAAGAATAGAAGGGGTAGAGTTGTGAAACTATGTTCTTTAGAGAGCATAAAGATTTTATTTTTTTCTCTCTTAAGGTTAAAGAAGAAGGAATTTAGTTTAGAAGAAATATATACCAACAAGAATTATAAGTCTCCTCCTGCAAACAGGTAGGTACATGTGGATGGGAAATTTAAAAAAGGTGGGCGGAAAGAATTCTGAAATGATTGATATAAATATCTAGAACTTCAGAAGGGTTTCAGCTCTATCAATATTGTTACTTATGAATAACTAGAATTTGGTATTTTTTGATCCCTCTGCTTAAATTGTGGTCAGTGGTAGAATAGGAAAGAAATATGTATGGGTTAGATGGACATATAAAATGTAGTTTCTTTGTAGTTTGTATTTGTGTTTTTACCCAACATACTGACCAGCTTCTTTTGGACTGATATATCACTGATCCTCAAATATGAGTCCAATCCCAAGTACATAAAGTTTCTCTCGACCACGTTTGGGTCTGAATTCAGTTCAAGTCTATGACATTTATTTTATCTAGGATACAGCCCAATAGTTGTAGGATTTTATACATGTACTCTTAAGACATTTGTACAAGACTATTCATTGCTATATGATAGGACAGGATTTGAAATAATCCAAAATATCCATTGCTGGTATTTTGGTCCATCCTTATAATGGAATATGCTGTATAACCTTAAAAAATGAATCTTATCAATCTGGCTCAACACAGTGGCAGATACCTATAATGCCAGCAGCTCTAGAGGTTAAGGTTACAGAATTTAAGTTCCTGGCCATCCTTAACTGTCTCAAAAAAAAGGGTTGGGGATGTAGTCAGTGGTATAGCACCCTAAGTTCAATCCCCAGTAACACCACTGCCAAAAAAAAATCATCTGATTTATTGTTATTGTAGTAAATTGGAACAAGTTTAAAGGGTATTGATAGGACAACACATTGTATAAGACAGTATATATAGTTACAGTTTGCTACTGTTTGGGCCATATGCCCAACCATAGGCCAAATTCTAGCCAGTGGCTTTTTTTGTTTGTTTGTTTGTGGTGCTGGTGATTGAACCCAGGGCCTTGTGCATGCAAGATAAGCACTACACCAACTGAGCCCTATCCCCAGACCCTTTTTCTTCTTTTTAATGAGATAGGGTTTCTCTGGCTTGGAACTCCTAGGCTCAAAGTATTCCCCCACTCTAGCCTCCTTAGTGCTGGGACTATAAGCTGTGTCCCACAATGCCCAGCTTGTTTGTTTTGTTTTGTTTTGTTTTTAATGACCTATAATAATGGTTTTTACATTTTTGTTGTTGTTGAAAGAAGGAAGGGCTAGGGTTGTAGCTCAGTGGTAAAGCGTTCGCCTAGCATGGGTGAGGCAGTGAATTTGATTCTCAACACCGCATATAAACAAATGAATAAAATAAAGGTCTGTCAACAACTAAAAATATATATTTAAAAAAAAAAAAGAAGGAAGGAAGGAAGAGGAAAAAAAAATTGTAATAGCCACCTATATGGCTCACAAAGTTTAAAATGTTAGTACTACCTGAACTTTATAGGAAAGGGTCACTCCCTAATATGTTATTTATGCCTATCTATACACTGAATGGCTTTTGGGAAATTACACACAAAAAAATTATTATTGTCTATGGTGGGAATTAATTTCACTTTTATTCTATATTATCCAGTTTGAACTTTTTCCTCTATGTATACATATACATATTAATAAATACCTATATTTGTGTTTTCCATACATATAGATAGATGCTAAGAGGAAACAGTTGAGTAGGGAGTAGTTGCTTCTAGTAACTAGAAAGAAAAGGTTAATGAGCCATGTGAGTCAGTCTGTCATTGATTTTGTTTTGTACCCCATCCTCAGGTGTTTAGAGACCATCTTTGAGGAACCCAAGGAACGAAATGGTACACTAATCTCAGTAAGCCAACAGAAGAGGAAGCGAGTTCTAGAATTTCAGGATTTTACAGTACCACGAAAGAGGAGAGCTCGAGGTAAAGTCAAGTTGACAGGCAGCTTTACCAGGGCCCAGAAGGCAGCTCTGCAGAGTCGAGAACTGGATGCTCTTTTGCTACAGAAACTGATGGAACTAGAGACCTTCTTTGCCAAGGAAGAGGAACAGGAGCAGTCTTCAGGTTGTTGAAACAAATTCAGATAAGAGTCTCAATTTTGTATGTTTTTGGACCTCCATGGAATAGGTCAGCTAATTTTGCCCTTAGGCCCAAACCACTCAAGATGTCCAGTCCATGAATATTTACCTATTTCAAGGTGCAGCCTTTTTAGGAACTGGTAAAGGAGGAACCTCTACTTCTACTGCTGAGTTTAGAACCTCAGGAATGCTCTTTTCTCCTGGAAATGGTCCTGAATGACATCTGGCCACCTCCTCCCAATCGCAGGAGGAAGGAGGAAGAAGCCACATATCTTAAGCAACACTAGGATTCCAAGGACTCACAGCATTTGCACGTCCAAATGAAAGTTCTGCTTTGTTTACGGTGGTGCTAGAAACATGGCCTAGGGAGGAGGACCTGGTGTCCTGCCCTGTGTGGTCTCACTGGCTCATTTAGGTGGTCAAGAAAAGATGAGCTATTGTGTTTTCTAATCATTTGAGTCTGTCCAGAACCTGTTGGTGTGAGTGTATATGAGTGTGTGCGTGTGTGGGGGGCCTTTTTCCATCATTTTCTCCCCACTGTGACTGTGGGTCACTAATGCCAGAGGAGCCCGTCCACGCCCCAAAGTAAGTTGCACTTTTAATGTTGTAGTGTTGATTATTTTCAGTTTCTTTATTTTTATTTTTTTTATTATTATTGCTGCATGTTTGGGGCCTTTAAATGTGATTTTTTTTTTTTTTTTAAGACATTAAGGAGAAAGACAGTACATGTCTTAGGAGAATACATGTCAGGCATATGACCCAGTTGATCAGTACATGGAGGAAACATTTTCCCATTCATGTGTTTTAAGTAATCCCTCCCCATCTCTAACTTCTAGTGTAGCTCATTTGAGGGGCACTTTTTCCTCTGGGTTCTCATTCCTGCCCACTAAACACACACATTTTTTATTTTTTTTATTATTATTATTTTTTTAGTGATATAAGTGAAATCAGATTTCTCTTCCAGTCATTTAAAAAAATGCTAAGGTCAAGTGTGGTTTTCTCTCAAATGTTGGTGTGTAACCAAGTTGACTATAGCAACTTGGGTGGTGATAAGAGACCAACCCAGAGTATTTGCAGCTATCCAAGCAGCCTGCTCCAGGAGTAGGGAGAGAGTCAGGGTAGTAGTTCAGTCCCAGTGATCCATTCTCATGGTGGGATTCTGAAATTCCATAGCCAACCCTCATTGAGGATACCTGGTCAAACCTACTGAAAATGCTGTCAAATGCCTGAAGTAGCTGAGTGTCTTGGTTTGTACCTGCAGGAGTCTGGGCAGCAGGCTCAGAAGTCTCATTCCTTTCCCAATGAATCCCTCCCCCCTCCATCCTTCCCTTATAGTTTCTTTTTTTTTTCTTTTCTTTCTTTCTTTTTTTTTTTATTTCCCTCACTTAAAATAAGAGTTCAGAGAATCAACTTTCCTTGGCTGGTGATATGCTCAAGCCAGCCTCAGGACACTGTTCACCTTTCTTCATCCTCCTAGGAGCCACTGCCACAAAGCAATCACTGATGGAACTGTCATAGCTCCAGGGACATTTCCCAGTCAGAGATGAGCATCTGGTGCCCTCCTGGAATGTTGGATTACTCTCTTAGGATGTTTTGTTTCCCCATTTGTTAGTGGGTGGGGAGATGGGTTGGGGGTTGGGGGGTCTCTATGTGCCTTTCTTTTGCAGGTTAAGTTTGTGCCATGCTGGAGCAGAAAAACTGACAAGAACAGGAAAAAAAAAAAAAAAAGGTACCACGTCTGTCATCCAGGCCCACTGCCTCAGACGTAGCATTTAAACAAGTGACATATATACCTGGACATCCACAGAAGATTCCAAGGCCATGGCCCAGTAGGACTAGAAGAGCACCAGGGTTCCATACTGCCTCTGAATGATGCTGGCCAGATTCTGCCATTCTATATCCCCTTTATCGAGACTGTGTGGACATGACCTATGTTTCACTTCAATACCTCTACCTTTGTTAGACAAGGTTCTTAGCACTCAGTCCCTCTCTGTCATTTTCCTAGAGAGAGTACAATGAGTAATACATTGTTCCCTTGTACAAACATGTAGGGAGCTCCATTGCCAACCACAGCTAAAGCAGTACTGCGGCAATCATGTCACCCAGCAGATGAAAGTTGAGGGGGCACAAATGTAGTATCACCAACATGACAGGCATAAAATTTCAAGTTTGCCTATTATAGGCATGGCGCTTGAAAGGTCCTAGAGCAGTGATTTGAAACATTGGCATCTGGGAATGGAGGACTAGGCTCCTGGCTCCTTCCTTATCCTGGAATGTAGGGGAAAAACTGCTCTGAAGCCAACCCTTTCTGTCCTTGGAATTCTTGGCCTACCCTCACCAGAGAGCCCTATCCCTGCTCCAAAAAAGGGGTCCCCATTGCAATCCTAAAATTACCTGAAGTTGCTACATCAGGTTCTAGTAGAACTCAGCCACACCTGTCTTAACATCCAATTTTGCTGTTTATCTAGCCAGCCTCGGGGCTGTCAGTGATCCTCAGAATCTGTGGTCACTGACCACAATGGGAGACATTAGTCAGCTGCTGGCATGCCACCTGACCAGGGCCATAGGAGGTCTATTGTGCTGGAAGTTGATAAGAATTATGAGTATGGAGACTTCCCACCCCAAGTATTGGGAAGCTGCCATCAGTTACAGTTTATTCAACTATATCACCTCCAGAAGTTTTAGTGTTTTCATGTTTATGAAAAAGGAGGAGAAATCTCAGGTCCAATCAGGGTTCTGCCCATCTCCTTTTCCATATTTTGATTTCCAGCTATACTGGCCTGGACTCCCCTTACCTCCCCTCCTCCTCTTTTCTATTTCTTTTTTTTCCCCCCCTCTTAGTCTTTTTTCCAACTTCATATCTCAATTAGTTGAACGTACCTCATACTTTTAAAAGCAGATTGTTCACTTTTTCTTACCAACCTTATTCTTAAAAGCTACAGCTGAGGGAGGTACAGTGAAAAGACGTGTAGCATTTGCCTTACTCGGAGCCTGAAGAGCTCAGAAACTCATGCTGTGAATCCCAAAACTCAGTGCTCCTCCAAGAGCTGTGAAAATCATGACACTTTGTCACAATTTTGCCTGAAAGGGTCTTTTGCTTGGGCACCAGAGCCAACCTGAGGTCAATTTCAGATTCTAATCTCTGGGCATTGACTCCCAGTGGTTCATCCCCTGCCCACCAGGTAAAAAGCAGTAGCAAGTGTGCAGGACTGTGGCAGCAGGTCCAAGGCTGCAGTACAGCCTAACGGGCAGAGAGCCATCACTCCCATCTCCAAGCTGGGATTCCATCTCAGCATCAGTACCATGTACATTAAGATCTGCGAAAGAACAACTTTTGGGCAATGATACTTTTCTCCCATTGCCTGGGGTGGGAGAGGAGTATGCAGTTGGTGCTTTCTTTAATACCCTTGTTTTGTTTCTGTAAACTTTTCCCCTGGTATCATGGAAAGGACCTCTTAAATAACCACATTGTGGGTGGCTATATCCAAAGTATTAATAATTGGCCAGAGGTAGGGAGTATCCTTGCCTGGATTCATGCCAGAAGAGGACCCCTTGCTTGAACTGAATTTCTGTATAAAGCTGACTAGGGGGAAAGGCTTAACTTCACTAAAATCACAGTTTAATATTACCATCTAGCCAGGAACAGCAGGAACGTTGACTGTGAAGTGGGGGTCCCCATGTAGCCTGTCATTCAGCACAGCATGCTCAGATTTGATGCTTGTTAACTGTCTTCACAAGCCCCTCTTGGTGCTGAATTGGATTTGAATTCTCCATGAGAGGCCGCATCTCCTTGAACCAAGGTCTGGGCCAGTAAATAGCTGCCTGAAGTGTTTCTATATTATCATGGTCAATAGTTCAGTGAAATTTGTACATTTTTGGTAACATTGGCATACATGATGCCCCTGCAGTTCCTTTTCTGTTTGGTAGTTTGTGACTCTAAAATGCCCACTGTTATGTGTGTTAATTTATGAGAATAAAAATTTTTTGAAACCTTTCAAATAACTGTCAGGGCTGTTAGTTTTATTCTTGTGGTCTAATACTAGATTAAAATTATGCCTGTAATGCCATGAAGTTTTGTTTTATTTTGTGTTTTGTTTTTTAATAGACATTCCAGAACGTTTTTGAGAACTGTTCTGAGCTCAGAACATGTGTAGAATTCCACCTCAAAGGTGACCTCTAGAACCTGCTGTGTAACATTTTGAACATACTCAGCAATGGGAAATAGTCTTTTTTTTTTTTTTTTTAACCAGGGAATATGGTATTTTGAAATAGTAGTCCTTTTGATCTGAGTTTACATAAGTACACAACAAAGAAATCGCTTATTGATATTTCTCTAATGTTTCTCTGTCAGTAACCAATGCATGATTGTATGCAGTAGGGGTCCGGTAAATAATCTGAGTCATTGACCAACTATGTATGTATTAATTTTATTGACCAAGTATTCTGTGTGCTTTTTAAATAGTGTCACTGACTTTTCTCACATGGCAATTATACAATTAGGTGAAACTATATTTCACATATTTGGATTAAGATTCTAGTTTGCTGAGAACACTGTTTGGAGGAATATAAATACAATGGGATCCATTTATTTACTTTTAAAAAAAGAGTCACTTCTTTATTTGTTCTTTTTAGTTATATATGTTAGTAGAATCCATTTTGATAAAATTATACATGCATGAAATATTTTATTCTAATTAAGGTCTCTATTTTTAATCATCTATTCTTCCTACTTGAAAGAATGACTCTTAAAAACAGCAATATCACACCATACTCACATGTTTCAGAAAGAAAAATGATTTTTCCTGAGGATAATGTTCCTCTGTCCAGAGCAACAGGAGTGCCAGGGGGTGGGCTGTGACTCAGTGGTAGAGTGCTTATTTCACATGTGTGAGGCACTAGGTTTGATCCTCAGCACCACATAAATAAATAAAATAAAGTTATTGTGTTCATCTACAACTAAATTTTTTAAAAAATGTTAACGTTTTCTTTAATCCTCAGGATTTCTGCAATGTGAAATTCTATCCAGGTCATCTTTGCTATTTGGAAAGCATCCTGTCTGACATAGTTGTGCTTCATTTCACGATTGAGGAAGAGTTGTCCCATCTTTTTTTAGAAGAGAGATTAATTATCCACTAATGCAGTAGTAGTACTATAACATCTCCTATCACAGAATCTTTTTTTTAATATTTATTTTTTAGTTGTAATTGGACTCAATACCTTTCTTTTACTTATTTATTTTTATGTGTTGCTGAAGACCGAACCCAGGGCCTCGCACATACTAGGCTAGCACTCTACCGTTGAGCCACAACCCCAACCCAGAATCTTAACATTTATGAGATGGTCTAAGTGTAAGAGGGCTGTTGATTTAAGAATTCTTTTCCTGCCCTCTTCCAGTGATGGAAAACTCATTTCTGCAGTTCATTCTGGGAATTCTCTATTAAGTATTATTTCTAATTCTCCAGGGTCATAGATGAGTTTTTCATAACATCCATTGCTGTCTTCTTTCTCATTGACAACTGATAGCTTTACTTCAAATTTCGCTGCGGTTGTAGAAGCAATTTGAACAAACCAGGCTTACTGTCACCTTATAATATGTGCTGTACCTTACCTTGTGCATGGATGCTTTTCCCTCATAATTCCTCTTTCACTATAGATGGATCTTTGCGTTTTTATCACACTGTTTGAAGTATGCGCCCTCCCATCCCATATCTCCATTTGCATTTTGTAGTATTTACCACTACCTCCCCACCTGTGTTATTTAATGTAAGCATCTTGAAGTCAGGAACTTTTTTTTCATTTGTTCTGATCCCTCCTGGCCTCTCAAGCACCTAGAACAGTGCTTGACATGCAGCCATTTGTCACATAAATAATATTTTGGTCAAGACTGATCAATTTACATAATTGTGGCCTTGTAAGTTTATAGGGAGCTGAAAAATTTGTATTGCCTGATAGGATCATGTGATGTAGCACAACACATTACTCATGGGTTTGTGTGTTGCTGGTGCAAACAAACCTGTGTTGCCAGTCATATAACAGCATGTACAGTTATGTACAGGACAAGTTTAATAATAAATGACTATATTGTTACTAGTTCATTTACTTTATGCTATTATTAAAGCATGCTAAAAAGAAAGCATATTATAGAATGCTATGTTAACATGAACAGTAACCTCATCCATTTCATTCAATGCAATCCACATTGAGTGATTGACCTATACCATAAAGGGTTTACATAAGTACACAACAAAGAAATCGCTTGATGATATTTCTCTAATGTGTCTCTGTCAGTAACCAATGCATGATTGTATGCGGTAGGGGTCCGGTAAATAATTCTGAATAATTGAATGGTTGCTGCATGTGGTTGCTGCACAGACCTGCCCAAGATCTCATTGCCCCACCAGCTCTTTGAATATTTGAAGACCACTTAATCGATTCTACCTTTCAATTATTCTTCAAGGGACCTAGGTGCTGTTGGCTGCCCAGCCTCTGACTATTGAACTGAGCACTTTTTGGTATCTAGTTCCATGCAGCTTCAGGGGCACATACCCACTGCTGGCTTCCCACCATCTGATTGGCTGTAGCTCTTTGGAATTGGCATCAAGTTGTAGTCACCTACCTTGTGAGAATGGTGAAGGTGGAGGCTTGCATTGGTAGGAGTCCTTTTAGGAATTTATCTCCTTTTTTTTTTTTTTTTTTGCATTTTTAATCTCAGATTATTGGAGATGGTGAAATGTTGTATAGGGGGGAAATCCTAAATATTGTACCATCTCATGGATTTGATACCTTTGTGTTTTTCCTGTACTGATTGTAAAACACAATTTCACACTTGTCCAAACTACCCCTTAGATCCCTCCATGGTTTTCCTCTAACCCCTTGACAAAGAGTAGCATTTATTGAGCCCTGATCAACTGCCAAACATTTTTGTTTATTATATCCTTGAATCTTCACAAAAATTTATGCTGTAAGTGGTGGTTTTATCCCCATTCTGTAGATGTAGAAACAGGCTTTGAAAGATTCAGTAAGACACCTATGTAGTTAATCGGTAGGGCCAGAGCCTGTATTAGTCCTGAAGAGTTAGATATCTCAGCCCACCCTTCTCTCCAAGCCCCACCTCTTCTCTCCATCACTCCAAATTTCTTTTAGTTCCTCAAATCCTCTATGCTTTCTTTTTGCTTGAAGCTCTTGCACTAAAACTGTCTGTCCCCTTAGCTGGAAATATTCTTTCTCTCATACCTTCATTTCTCCAACTTAAGATCTGTCATATTTCTCTAGTCTCTTTCCTGTGGATTCCAAACCACACTTGCTGTTAGACACCCCTCTTATGTTTTTCCTCACTCAATGAGGAAACTTACATATGAACTGCCCACTCAGTGAACTGCCTGCTCACTTGTCAGGATACCCCACTAACCTGTGAGCTTTGAGAGGCCAAAATCTCTGCAGTCTCATCCCTGGCCACTTGCATAGCCCTGGCACGTGGGTTCCCAGTCATTGAACAGATCACCTGGGTACCTCTCAGGCCAGTTCCTTGGAAAATTATGGTCATGTTAGGGAGACATATGGGTCAAGAGCTGATGGAGCAAAGACGATTTTTATGATATGGGAGAAGTGCTATAGGTACAGGTAAAAGATTTTTTGGAAGAAATGTAAAAGTTGCAGAAAAAAAGAGAACAAGTAACAAGCACTCATCCACCACCTAGAATTAACAAGGGAGACATTTTTCACTGGACTCCAGCCAAGTTTAAAAGAAATCAGATTATCACCGAAGTCCCAATAAACTACCAACCCCTGTAGGGTCTTCTTGCTCCCTAAGTTCAGCCTCTATTTGCCCCTCAATGCCCTATCTGTCCTCTGACTCTCTTTCCATAAACAAATTTTTAGCCTCTTGCTTATGGTAACACTTTAGATCTTAAATGGACCAAGACCCACACTTTAAAGGCTTGTTCCCCAGCCCATGTACTATTGGGAGGTGGAAGAATCTTTAGTAAGTCAGACCTAGTGCTAGTAAATTAGATCATTGGGGCATATCCTTGAAGGGGATATTAAAACCCTGGCATTTCCTGGCCAACATGAGGTAACAGACCTACTCTGTCACATGCTCATACCATGATGTATTATGTTGTCACAGGCTCAAAGTAACAGAATCATTTTCTCTTGCTAAATTGATTATCTCAGATCTTTTATCACAGGAAAAAGCTGAGGAAAAAGCTAAATAACGGTTATTTGTCAATTTTATTTATTTGTAGTACCAGGGATTGAACCCAGGGTGCTTTACCACTAAGTTACTTTCCTAGCCCTTTTTATTTTTAATTTCATGACAGGATCTCACTATATGGCCCAAGCTGGCCTTGAATTTGTTACCTTCCTGCTTCAGCCTCCTGAATTGGAATTATAGGACTGTGCCACTGCGCCCAGTTTGATTTTATTTTTGAGATTTACCCAGATTAATATACATTAATCCAGTTCCTTTCTTTTCAACACCGTAAAGTAGACCATTCTAGAAATATGATTGGAGAATTTCTTCACTGATGGGTTCAAAAAATCATGGTGCAGTTTATGGGACGAAGAGCCTGAATTTTGTTTCAAGAAAGCAAAGGAGAGCTGGGCAGGGTGTACACCTGTAATCCCAGCAGCTCAAGAGGCTGAGGCAGAAGGATCCTGAATTCAAAGCCAGCCTCAGCAACTTAGTGAAGCCATAGGCAACTCAGCAAGCCCCTGTCTTTAAATAAAACAAAAGATGGCCAGGGATGTGGCTCAGTGGTTAAGTGCCCCTGGGTTCAATCACCAGTACCAAAAAAAAAAGAAGAAGAAGAAAGGAAGGAAGGAAGAGAAAAAAGAGAAAAAAAGCAAAAACAAAAGAGAAAATGTTCTTTCCAAGAACTGGCCATCACAAAGTGTTAATAAGATTTTTGGCAGGGGGGGGGGTGGGGGAGGGGGGCAGGGGGGGGGGGGGGGGCTTGGTGGTGCATGCCTGTAATCATAGTGGCCCAAGAGGCTGAGGGCGAACTAAGGAGGATCCCAAGTTCAAAGCCAGCCTCAGCAATGGCAAGGCACTAAGCAACTCATTGAG